AATACAAATGCAAATACAAATACAAATACAAATAGTATTACAAATACAATTGCAAATATAGTGCTTAAAGCGCGATAAGGCAACACTTAATTACATACACACACACACGCAGAACGTACCTATACACACCCACATACTCTACACAAGGGCACCGCAAATATAATGCCGATAAGCAACGCTGCTTATCAGCTTTGATATCGTTGAAGCTTGCGGCGCTCGCCTTTGCTCACGCTCCCGCTCGCTCTCTCACTCGTGCGCGTCACTCTCACGCGTAACTGTGCTGCTGGCAGCAAAAGCATACGCACAGTTAAAGCACAGCTGTTGCCGTCGTGCAAGTGTCCCGAACGAAGAAGAAGCATCTGAACGCAGCTGCAGCAGCAGCAGCAGCAGCAGCAACAACAACGCAGCCTAGTGCACTCTAGCATTGTCGATTATGCAAAGCAACAACAACTGTCGTTTATAAATGAATTCGTATTTATCCTAGTGCATGTGAGAAGCAATTAAAGCAAGTGCTCTAAAACAATAACAACTATATATGTAAATACTAAAGCAAACGTATCGCGTCGCTGCTTACAAAATCAACGCTAAACTGGGACAACAACAAAGAGAACAATCTTACAACACTATCAACTTTAGCACTACACAACACAGAGAGAATCACAATGGCTAGAGATAGGCTGCCAGAGCTTTTGCAGGTAAGTTTAAGTGTAAATTGCTTCTATATTTTTCCAATGAGCGAACGTTTTAAAGTGGCTTCGATAGTTTCTGTGGAAGCGAGAGTGTAGCTTATACAGTGTGGCAAAATGCTTAAAGAAAAGAAAGATGAGCGAAAAAAGTATTGCAAAAGTCCTGCTAGAATTTAATTAATAGAATTCCCCAGGCATTGTCAATCGTTCGTCAGCCAGACTTTGTGGCGGTGCTTTAGAGAAAAGTTGAAAGCGGGTATGGCTATTTACATATTTAATATGCAGTATTAAAGCTTTATTACATGTCTAGGCTTGTTACTTTCTTGCAATTGTGTTGCTCTGAGAAAGGAGAAATTCCAGTCAAATATATTGCGCTGTAAATACCCTCAGCCTACAAAGGAATCGCATATGATACATTTGCATCGCGTTGAACAAATGCACTTCGATTTCCGGCTCAACAAATTTTTCCTCAGTAGGCCGCTAGCAGTGTGGCTCCATTTTGTTACACGCATTCTTTCGCCGGCATTTACAAACACTACGCGACATTCCGCGTCCGGCCCTAACACTGGCTCGCCATTTTGGTAGCGAGTGGTGGGGGGACGTGAGAGACGTGTTGTTTTTGTTGGTTTTGGGCGCTTATCAGCGTGCACCTAGATTGCCGACAGATAAGAGCGATAAAGTAGCCCATGAGGGGCTATCCCCAAGCCCGCACGGTCGTTCAATTCACATTTGTTGGCCAGCTTTTATTATTCATTACACTACCAGATTGTGCATTTCGCACCCGCGCCCGCCCCCAACAACACAGCTTGTGAGAGAGCAGATCGCAGGCGAAAAACAAATAAAAAAAAAAAACGAAAAAAGAAAACAGCGCCAAATAGAAGCACGAAGTTTTAGTTAGAGTTACGTCGGCGTCGCTGCAGCAGCGATGCTCGAAAACAATTTTTTGTTCGAGCTCGGACCGTTAACAGTTTAAGCATTTTGTTAACTGTTTTGCAGCGCTCGCTCAGCGCCAACTCGACGTCTTCGTCCTCGAACGGTTCATTGTTGCTCAACGTTTACAACGCGACCACCGAAACGCTCAGCAGCAACAACAACAACAACAACAGCAACAATAGCAACAATAGCAACAACAGCAGCAGCGACAACAGCAAGGATCGCAGCAAAATGGCGCAACAGGGTACCAATGTGGATGCCATACTGAATCCGGTAAGTCTTTGCATGTGTGTGTGTGTGTGTGTGTATGTGGGCAAGAGTTGAGCGTGTCTTGTGTTTCTTATATTTATTACGTGACACGAACAACACGAGCTATATGTGTTAATAAATCTAATTGAAATACAAATGCAAATACAAATAAAAAAATGTAAACAAGTAATAAAAGTATAAATTCAAAATGATGTAAAATTAACAAATAAACAAAAAATTCCAAAGAGTCGTGCGTGTTGGCGCACGCTCCCATCTCTAGTGGGAACAGCAAACAAAACTGTTCCTTTAATTATAACTGTTTAATAAATGCCAAATTGTCGTGCGTGCTGCGTGCTTCTTCCCCCCGATTTGTGGCTCGTGCCGTGTTGACTAAATCTGACACGAGCCCATCTCTATTGTGGACATCAAAGAAACCAACTGCTTTGATTCCAAATGTTTATCATACGTTTTTGACGGCCGCATGAATCAGCGACGTCGTCAATAGCAATAGCGCGGCGCATTACTCAATCGTCGAACCCGTGATAAGCGAAATGGCTTACAGCAGCTTCTAATTAATTAAATACATACAGACAAATTTATCTTCATATCTAATTATATCTGTATGCCATTAAACTGGGACTTAACACCCCGCCCCCATACTCCCACACACAATGCTGCGCCGAAAAAAAAAAACAAAAATCTCTAGCAGAGAGTCCAAATCAAAAGATTACAGTCAGCAACTGCTTGGAGCACCCATAAAGTATAGCAAACTCCAAAAGTTGAATGAACCAGCTAATAAGCATGCACCACAATCTTTGATAGCCTGTTCTGAAACGCGAGAAATGTCCGTTGCTCTGTCCAACCGTGTCTGATTAAGTTTGAAACACTTTACAACACTAATCAAATATTTTAGACAGACATCTTGACCGCAGGAACACAAACTGTAGCACTCCCACTTTCGCCTACATATTGACTAAGAAACGTTCTTCACTGCTTGATTTAATTAAGTTGATTAATATATAAATCGACGATTGATGCTCGACTTGGTCTCATAGCGGTTTTGTGGTCTGATCAACTTCGTTTGATAACTAATTTGTCATAGTTTTAGAAATGAGTGTTGTATAGCTAAGATCAGATGATAATAATGTGCTTTATAACATATATAGATAAATATATTAGGTAATAACAACGGTCCTTTCTTTATTTTATCTAATCCAAAGTGCATTTGATGATTTTATTTAACACTACATCTTGAATTTTATTAATTTTCCAACACTCATTTACAGTATTCAGAAATACGCCATCAGCTCTCGCAAATAGCTAACAATCTGGAGGCTATGGACCGTATGTCCCAGACAATCCATTTACGCACCTTTAGTGGTAGGTACAGCTAACATACATATACATATTTACAGATACATTCGAAGCGCCCAATTAATACATTTTTAACATTTCGTGCAGAGAACGAAATGGATGAGCTGCACAACAGGAACCTGCGGCTGGGCAATCAGCTAATGAACCGGTTTAGGGAGTTCAAAGCGAATCTGCCGCCAGAAACTGACTACAGTCTGGAGGCCCGCATGAAGCGTACCCTATTCTATGGCCTTTACCAGACCTATATCAATCTGTGGCAGAAGAACGAACTATTTTTGCAGAACTACGAGACGAAGGTGAAGAAGAACCTGCGCATGCATTCCAAGATTAGTGAGTAAATAAAAGGGAAATGTAAATAATGAAATTGAAATTAATATCAGAATTCCTATTTGTACAGTTAATGCGGAGGCCAGTGAACAAGAGATCGAATTGCTGATCGAAAACAAAACAACAAAACTCTTTGTGGACAATGTGAGTCGTTGCATGCGGCGTTAATCATTATCTAAGCTGATTTTTAAAAGTTGATTTAGATACTGCAAGAGACAGATAAGGAACGGCAGACGCTGCGCGATCTCATGGATCGTTTCAATGAGCTCCGAAAACTGGAGAAATCTATTGAAGATGTTCATGCACTCTTTATGCGTATTCAAACACTTGTCATGGAGCAGAGCGAAACGATACAGCGGGTGGAGTTCCATGCAAATCAGGCCACCCTTTACACCGAAAAGGGCGGCAATGAGCTGGACAAGGCCCATGAGTACCGGGAGAAAGCGCGAAAGGTGCGTTTATTTTAATCGTCGGATACAGTTATTGGAATTTCTTTACAAATCGATTTTTTGCAGAAAAAAATAATGCTCATTGCTATACTCGTTGCAGTTGTGTTAGTTTTAATAATCATCGGTATTTATTTGTGATGCACATAAGCGCAAAACTATTTTTTTTTCTTTTTTTTTTTAATTGCTTTTAAGCCAAATAAAATAATTTTGTTAAGCGATTTGCATTTAAACTGGCCGGGCGTTTTCAAATGCTTTACTCACCACACCATGACTTGGCGCTCATACAGGGTTGCATTTAGTTAGGCTATCAATTTTACGGTGCTGTCGATGTAATGCTGCATATTGCCGTCAGCTGTTAGTTGTTTACACAAAATAACTGTTGCCTTTTGAATGTGTTGGCGCAAATGTAACTTACTTTCCGCAATAACAAATACCAGTTTTCTGATAATTTGTAGTTCAGTTTGTATTGTTAATTGCTGCTAAACGCAATCGTTCGTGCTGTTACAGTTTTTAATACATTTGACAGGCAAATTAGTCAAATGATTTGTAAATAGGACTGTACGGTTAGTACGAGACTAACACTGCATTCTTATTCTTTATTTTTACACAAGAAATGCAATTATGTTACTCAGTTTTTTTTTATTTTTATTATTATATGTTTGGTGTGAGTGAAAAATTATATATGGCCAATTGAAAAAAAAAAACTGGCTGTTAGATTCACGTAATGTGAATCTTCCTACGCTGTGTAATGTTACTATGTCTAGTGAGCAAAGAAGAAAAATAAAATGCATCCAAAGTTTTTACCTGACATTGCGCAATCATATTGAGAATATGAAGAATTATTAAGCTCAAAAACAAGTCATTTGATGAAAATTTACAAAACTAAAGTAATTTAAACGCAAAATAAGCAGAGCACACGCAAAATCACAAACGTAAGCGCAAACTGAGTAACGTAATCTTGAACTTAACATAGCTATGTTATGCATATGTTAAAGGCCAAAATAAGCATAACCGCGACTTAACATAACATAATACGCTCCTCTAAATGCAAAACAATGAAGATAAATAAGACCCAAAACGACAGCAAAACACACGCAAAATAAATAATTTCTGCATTTTGGGTAAGTGCGCAATAGAGTGTCATTTAACTAGTGGCCAAATAACAACAAACAAATACGAAAAACTCAAACAAACAACGCTACACCAATCAACTTTTTGACCCATTGGCGAGCGCCATTTTTTCGCTGGCGTCGTGCAAAGTTAGCTATTTAAGCGCTAATATCTAGGAATTTGCCTACGCTATTTGTGGACAAACAATTGTCACATAATTGATAATTACTTGCAGCCTGTCGGTTAGCCGTGGTGGGGGCAGCCAGTGCCAGTGGCATAAAATGGAAGACAACGCCAACATGTGTAAGAATGTCAAGCTTGCGGCCGAGCCTGTTGTTGTCGTCACCGAAGCAACCGCAGTCGCAGTGGCATCCGCAACGAATGCATCCACAAACAGTGGCAAGGGTGTGCAATGCAAGCTGGCGCCAGTTGCCAGCGCCGCTGAGCCCGAGGAGCTGCTCGGTTCGGTTACCACACAGAATTGCCCGGGCACCCGGGCGAGCGCGCGTGTCATACAAAAGATGAAACTAGATCTGACGCGTCCGATGACGCCGCCACCGGCGGAGCGTGAGCACGCCAAGAAGGAGGAAAAGATCACCCAGAAGACGCCGTCTCAGATGCGCGCCGCCAACAAAACGACTTGGACAAATCTGGAACGCAATTGTTTCTTTGATGCGCTCAACGAATTTGGCAAGGATTTCGAGGCAGTGGCCAACTGCATCAATGCCAAGCTGAAGCGACGCAACACAAGCACCGATTACAGCTTCAAGACAAAGGACCAAGTGCGCCAGCATTACTATCAAACATATCACAAGATTGGCAAATATGTTCGCTTCACGGATGGTAAGCATGTCCAGGCATTTGATGCGCCCTACCTAACTCCATTTCCAATTATGCCTTGCTCCAGAGCTTAAGAAGCTTGCCCAGGAGCTGTACACGCTAATTAACTATGGTGAAATGAGGCGCAAGCTGCAGTTTCTCTCTGAGAAGCATTTCATGAAACTGAAGCAGCTCATTTATCAGGGTCACATCACCGTGCGCTGCAAGGGCAAGAATATACGCATCAAGACGCCCTCCTGCAAGGCGCTGCGTCGTCTCAATCAGCTGGATGGTGAGTCCACTTAAACGAATTAACACAAACTCCATGCTAATTACTGCGGGCAACCACCTAGATACGTTGGAGGACATACGCTTGCCCAGTAAAATTGAGGTGCTCGTGAATCCGGCGAACATCGAGGCGTTCGGTCGCGTTCAGGCGCTGGCACAGAACCCACGCAGTCGCGTCATTGTACCGCTGCACAAGAAGCTCATCAGCTTTATTAAAACGTTTCAGTACAAATGGCGCAGCGCTGACGCTAGGCTTGCGGAGGAGCAGCTGCTGCCGCCCAGTGGCACTGCCGCCGGCAGCACAGACCCGCCCGAGCCCTTAACGGAGCCGTTGGTTTGCTTTTTACCCAAGCCCGGCGTGCCCATACATCGTCCGCTGCTCAGCATTACGGCGTATTTGAGCAGCGTTAACATATGCCTGACCGCCTACGAGGAGCGTCTGGGCGTCAAGGTGCACAGCGAGACGCTGAACAGCGCAGCAGCCGCGGCCGCTGCCAGCGCCAAGCGTGCGCGAACGGAGAGCGGCTCAGAGAAGCGTTCGCCCGAAGCCAAAAAACTCAAGCCTCTAACCAGTTCGGCTCAGGAGAAGCCTTTGGATGAACTGACAGAGGCCAGCAATAATGTAAAGGTGGAGAGCAACAGCGGCGACGAGATTAGCGAGGAGATCAATGAGCTGCTCAGTCTGAAAACCGAGGGCGAGACACTCGAGCAAACTGCCAGCACAAGCAGCGCCAGCAGCAATCCCACAACAAGCGCTGCTCCACCGCCGCCCGCACCGGCCCCAGCATCCGCACCAGCTCCAGCTCCAGCCCCAACACGTGCCAAACGAAGCGACGGCTTCGGTGCGGGGGGTGGAAAAGGCGCCAAGGCTGCTGCAGCTCGCAACTTTAAGCCGCTGCTCAGCGATGATGTGATCAAGCGCATACGCAAGGGCTGGACGATATCGAATTCAGCGGATATAACCATTGGCGATTTGTATGTGGTGCTGGGTCAGGACTCCAAGCTGGAGCTAGAGTATTATTGGTGTGAACTGGAGCAGATTGCGCCGAGCGGCGCCACAGCCGCCAATACAACGAGCACAGCGTCGTCGTCGTCGTCCTCCTCCTCCTCCTCATCATCAACATCGCTGCCCTACAATACCAATGACTGTGATAGCGTGGAACGCGTTAAGGCGATCACAACGGCCACGGTTAGCAATAAGCTGAAGCACCTGCTCCTGGTTGCCAATCTCAGCGAGCGTGTGCGCAAACGTCAATGCAATTGTGGCCACAGTTGCGATCGCAAACGCGATTTAATCACCAAGGCGCAATGGCTTAGCAATCTGGCGAGCGCCGGTACGGCAACTGGCGCTGGACCCTCATCAGCGACTGCAACATCAACGGATGGCAATGAGGTCATCTTTCGCACGCCCATGCTGCCAATACGCAGGCCCATGGTCAATGTTATTGATCCAGTGCGCCAATTGACCAAGGTTCGCAAAATGCAACCAACCATATTAATAACTATTCTCTATAAAAATCGAATTTGCATTTTATATTTCAGCTCACTCGCCAGAAGATGTCACGTCAGGTTCTGGTGCAGCGTTGCCTCTTGCCGCCATCTTCAGTAGCCCAACCATACGATCTGCTCAGCCTGCGCAATCTGCAAAACGGTCTCTTTGAGCCCATCGAACGCGTCAGCAGCAGCAGTGGAATAAGTACTCTATTGTCCAAACTTGGGTCCAATAGCGGCGTCAGTCAGCGTCAGCAGCAGCCCGGAGTCGAAGATCACAGCAGCAGTAACAATAACAACTGCAATACCAGCGACAGCAGCGGCGCTCCCCTCACAGGCCCGGATATGCCCGATTTGGAATTTTCTGTGGATGCGACAACGCTGCCAGCCACAAGCACCACGCTGCCAGAGGACGCCCAAGATGAGAGCACCAGTAAGCTGAGCAAATTAAACATACATTATAAGTATATTGTACCTCATATCCATCGACTAGTCTCTTCAGTTTTGCCCATTGTGTTCCGTTCGTCAACGTTCACAGTTGGACTTTGATTTAAGATCCGAACAATGTAAATTGACTTAATCCCTCTCATGAGCTCATTGGTCTCGTCAATTTTCCCCTTTATGTCACAATTGTAAACGTTTATACTAAGGAAAAGAAAGTAGAGAGAGAGAGACGATCTAGTGTGCTCGACCTCCCTTAAGACGGGGAGCAGTACTCTAGCTGAAGAAGCCATATTCTGAACTGGGGAGACAAGCTCTGTCTAGATGCTTCCTACAAGTCTTTCAATTGACTTTGCCTCTGCATAGTCCGTCTCTTTTCATTCTATGGTGTTAAGACATATTAAATACTATTGAACAGAAGCACACATTAGTTAGAAAAGCTTCCAGCTCTTTGTATAATGGTATTTATCTACATATGCACTATTTCATTTACATATGCTTCCAACGACAAATATCGAAATAATGATTATCCTTTGTTGTGCAGCGCAAAACTTTTTCAATGGCAGCGTCAGTCCGATGCATTTGTTGCGCGACTCCACATCGAATTCACGCTGGCTGGAGGAGAACATCAATGACTTCTCGCTGACCAGCCTGCTGGGACATCTGGATGACTTTGATGCCACACGCGATATACTGGTGAGTGGAATGTTTATTTGGCTGGTCATAAAACAATCCAAAAGCGAAACAATCGTCGTCTTAATACAGGATCCTTCATCGAGCATGTCGGTGATCAGCGAGAGCAGCGTCGATTATCGTCACAAGTTTCAGGAAATTTCGGCCCTGCTGCAGCAGCAGGAGAAGGATTAACATATGTGTTTTGCTGTCAACCCGAGAACCCTGTGCGAGCCTCCTTGCGGACCACTAAATCCACACAATGTTGTCGCTCTTAAATTCGATTTGCAGAGTATTCTTATTATTATTTATCATTTTATATTTAAACGTGGTGCAACACACAATATTCAATTCCAAAACAAAAAATGAGAAAGAAACGAAAATATTACTCACCCATTTTAATACGGATATTATTAATGTTAAATTAAACATTTAAAGTTTTATATGTTTAACCAACCTTAACCTTCTTACCGCTGCACTAGGCCTTGTGATGTTGAATTTGTTCTTTTACTATTTACATTTTACTTTTAAGCATACACATGCTCGATATTTATTTAATATATATATATATGTACGCTAAGTATTACAGAATCTACTCACATTGTTTTATGTTCTAGTTGCCTCGATAAAGGAGTATAGTTTCTTTATTCCCGCTTTTTTTTTTTCGTTTTCTTTATTTGTTTTTTTTTTTTTTTTGGTTGTAGTTAATAGGTCAGGATAATTACTAGATAATTAACACGCGTATAAGTTGTATTGTAGTTTAATACGAAATATGCATATAAATATAATAAATAACAGTTTATTCTGTATATATCCCAAGAGAAAATGTATTTCATTTGTAACAAACGGCATAAAATGTATTATGTCTTCAACTGTTATAAATACAATTATGTTTATATTTATCAAATAGTAGAGAATTTTAAGAGAATATTTTACTTATATTTAGTATTTTAAAACTTGCCAGCAAACTACTAATAAGTTATTTATGATAAGGGAAGGAAAGGAAATCGAATTTTGAAAGTATCAGTATTTATGTTTATCTGAAATCTATGAAATTATTTTAATCCTTATTATTATGCTCCATAGCATATTACGAATAAAGACTCGTATCACTTTTAGGCTGCCAGTGCGAATCGGTTTCATAACGGTTAATAGGGCTGCCACTTGAAAAAATAGGTTTTACCGGCTATTACAAGAACAAGTACAAAATTGTTGATTACATGTAAGAATAACTTGCTTAAATGTAAATTATTTGAACGCATATTTGTATATACATTTTTTTTCTTTTAGATATTTCTTAAGTAGCTTGTACATTTAAAGTCTTGGGCAGCTTAAGAAAGTTGAAAATACTCCAGGGCTATTAAAAATTCAAAAATATACAAAAATATTATCACAACATTTAACTTAAACTCATTGACGAAAACTACACCATTTTGTAACAAAAAAATCGAGTAATAAACAAAGTTATTTGGTACATTTTCAGTGAATGTGGCAACCATGGTCATAACTTATCTTCTAACACGTATCTGATTGCTACACGTGCATATGTATGTATGAATATATGTATGTACATATGAATGTATGAATGATTGTTTAGACGGGATATACAGTTGGATTTATAACCCTGTTATTCATTTCCCATCCATTATTCAGCTAGCTTTTTATGTACAATACATATATATAAATAATGCACCCACATGTATCACTTACATTTCTAGCTAATTCCATTTCCAGCCAAAAGGCTTGCTCAGTTGCCGTTCTAACGGTACATATGCATGTGTATGTGTATGTGTATCTGTATCTACGTGTTTATTCGATACACACAATGTTGTGGGTGCAAGAAGCGAGAGTAAGCAAAGAAAGCGAGAGTGCGAGACAGAGAGAGAGAGATAGAGAGAGAGAGAGGGAGAGAGCTGGCGCGTGTAGTAAGTGACTGCGATAAGCAAAGGCACAGTTTGCCACAGCTTAAAACAATAGCAACAACAAGCAATATTTTTCGTTATTCGTTATTGGTTTTGTTTTGATATTGAGCGGTGGCAACGTCGGCGTCTGTGTCTTCGTTTACCCCTGCAAAGTGTTAATCATTTTGTATTTTGCAGTTTTTAGTTTTATGATGCGTTAGTCGAGTTCGTCACATTAGTTGAGTGCCGGACGTTCCAGCGACAGCCTCGAGCAGCACAAGCACAAGCAGCAGCAGCAGAAGCAGAATAAGAAGAGGCAGCAACATGGCAAACAAAAGCGTAAGTCGTTAGCTACGCTCCCAGCTATTGGGATTAATCTAATCAAATGGTTTTCTATTTGTGCAGCCGCAGCACATTTTGAAGCTCAGCGCTGAGCAGCGACGCCGCTTTGTTGACTCCTTTGATCGGGTGTACAGTGACATAGACGGCGTTATCTATACCCTGGAAGTGAATGTGCCCAATGCCGACCAGGCCTACGCGGCCCTGGAGCGCGCTGGCAAGCAGCTAACATTTGTGACAAATAACAGCGTACGCACTGTTAACCAAACTGTTAAGCGTTTTGCCAAGGCCAACATGCAGGTGGAACCGCAGCAGATCTGGCATCCGGCTCAGACAATGGTCTACTATTTGCAAAGCATCAAATTCGAGGGTCTTATCTACATCATGGCCTCGCCTCCGTTCAAGAAGGTGCTGCGCGAGGCGGGCTACCAGCTTATCGATGGCGTAAGTAGCAACTGTTTCGACAATCTTTAAGGGAACCATTCTAAATTCTCAAGTGTTTAGCCCAACCAGTTCATTGACGACACCTATGAGGATTTGGCACGCAATATTTTTGACAAGCAGCCGGTGCGCGCTGTCGTCATCGATGTGGACTTCAATTTGACCTCGCCCAAAATGTTGCGCGCCCATCTCTATTTGCGTCATCCCGATTGCCTGCTGCTCGGCGGGGCCACAGACCGTTTGTTGCCCGTGGCAAAGGGTGTCAATATCATTGGACCCGGCGCCTTTGCCTCCATTCTGATTGAGGCCAGCGGCAAGCAGGCAACGGTTCTGGGCAAACCGGGCCGCGCACTGGGCGATATGCTGATCCAGCAGCACAATGTTACCGTGCCTAGTCGTGTGCTCATGATCGGCGATATGCTTGCCCAGGATGTGCGTTTTGGTCGTATGTGCGGATTCCAAACGCTGCTCGTTCTCACCGGCGGCTGTACGCTTGACCAGCTTCAGGCGGAGACCTGTCCCGATCATCTGCCCGACTACTATGCCGACAGCGTGGCCGACTTTATTCAATTGCTTGCCGACATTGCGCCCAAGGCGCATGTCTAACGCCCACTACACTAACCATAAGCATTCGGGTTTGGGGCACGTATTCGTATCTGTAAACGGTTAAGGGTTAATGTGTGCTACACATCAAAAATCTATATGTATAAGTAGGTAGACTCGGAACGTAACCACCATTGTGGTCTATGTAACTATTGCATTCTAGTCCTGAGACCAGTCTGTGAGTCGTACCAATAAGAATTCTGTTTAAAATTGAGAAATGAAAATATCGTAAGAGTAATTCCAACTAAAAATAACTGCAATAATACTCCAAGATTGAGCAAGAAATTGTCGCGAACCGAACCAATTTTGATTGCGGTTCACCGCAAACAAAATATTGGATTGGATTGAGTCTTGCTTTATAGAAATTATTTGTTATAGCTAAGTAAAATCGTTGAATGTTTGCTCCTCCCTCCAATCGCTGTTTACCTACAATTCATTTGTTTATTATTTACATTATTTGTTATTGATTAACAAATTGGCAAATTGAGGATTCTGGAAAATGAATTGCTTTTTTGTTTATAGACAAGTAACGTTTTTTTCACGCATACGCGAATAAATGTTTATCTTATAAGAACGATTTCTATATATATATATATATATATGTATATAAGCAATATGCACTTTATTGGCTTCAACGGATCTACTCGAGCTATCTATGTTTAAGACAATACAGTATATATTGATGCCTATTTGGAATTCGTTGTTGTTTATTCCATTATATTCGTGCCGCAAATATCGCCCAGGCAGTCGCCTACGTAGTCGGGCATATGGGCGTGGCTAGGCGGCAGGCTGGCCACATCCGCACTGCTGCTGCCGCCAGTGAGGACCAGCAGCGTCTGGTAGCCGCTGGCGCGCGCAAATCCAATGTCACTGGCTAGACTGTCGCCGATGAAGAGCACTCGGTTGGCTGGCACGTGGGCGTGGTGCTGGCGCAACAGCTGACGCAGTGCCTCGCCCGGCTTGCCCAGCACCATGGGCTGGCGGCCAGTGGACTGGGCGACAACGTCAATAAAGGCGCCGGGTCCTTGAAGCAAACGCAGTTATATATGTCAAATGGAATGGAAGGAAAATAAATTCCTACCAATGATGTCGCCGGCGCCGAAGGGTATTAGCGCATCGGCAGCGCCGGCCAGGAACAAGCAGTTGGGATTCTTTAGCTGGAACTGGGCGTGCATCAGCTTGGTCGCTGTCAGATTAAAGTCCACATCAATAATGACAGCCTGCACGGGCTCCCCGCCAAAGATGGCCTCGTGCAGCTCTCCCAGGCTCTTGATGATAAAACCCTCGCGCTGGCAGGCAAAACCGTTTGAGCCAAGTATCTATCAACGCCAGCAAAGCAACTCACCTCCTCGGTTAGACGAAAGCCCGCGTCACGCAGCAGCTGCCTGAAGGGCGGCGTGGCCAGGCAGTAGATGAGCCCCTCGAAACCAATGGACTTGAGATGATCGCAAATGGTCTGTGCCGGATGCACAATCTGTTGCTGCTTGGAGGAGGGATTGGAAACCAAATCGCAGCCAACTAGCTGATCACCTGGAACTCACCTGGTCTATATGCAATGCCGCTTGCTTGACGAACTTCTGCATATGCTCCTCCACGGAGCTGATGCTGTTATTGGTCACAAAGGTGAGCTGCTTGCCACGACGCTGCAGCTCCCCGATGGCCTGGGCCGAGCCGGGTATAAAATCGCGCAGCGTGTACCAGACAACACCTGCCAAAGAGGGGCAATGGCCAAAATGAGAACTCGTTTTTCTCTTCTAAGCACTTAACTGAAACTTATAACGGTTCGAATCCAGTGTTGAAAAACGTAGCAATTGGCATTTGAATTTTGTTACTGAAAATCGAACTTAATCTTCAGGCCAAAGAATGCAGCGAGTAATTGAGTTTTCTTTTCTGTTTTCTATGCAAAGTCTTTGGTACAGCACTCTCAAAAAACTGAGACTTATTAACGGTTAACGTCCAGTTTTTCAAATTTAGAAAAATGCTGTTTGAAGCACGTTGAAATTTGAATCTATTAGGTTTTTACGTCTTTAAACGGACATCTAGTTTATCTAAGTCCCCATTTATTTGAATCGTTAAATCTAGCGTAAAACCGTCCCTCATCAAATGTGAAATTCGGAACAGACCCAGACAACTGTGTCTATATACTATATCGTACTTAAGCATAAAGAACAAACCATCGCAATCACAGAAGACGACATCGAAGGAATTGAAAAACTCTTCACGTTCCGCTGCGCTCAGTTGCTTGATGACTTTCGGCTGATAATGAAAAGTTGGGAAAAATAAATGGAAAATAGGATTAGCTGCTACTGTTAATTATCCACGCGATAGCAATTTGGCTTAGCCGGACGCACAGCATCTTGTCTACTCACAGAACTGAGGCTCATTTTATAGTCGAAAGCGATCGGATCGATCCAAATGCGGTTCAAAGTTGTCAGATTTGTTCGATTAGGTTGGGTTTATTTTTAGTTGTTTTTTTTTTTTATGCCAAATGCGGCTTATGCAAATTCCATTGAAGCGTTACGCCGACAGACTGGAAGCTGAGCCCCGATGTGTGTCCAACTGTAAAGCTCGACTGGCCAAAGACAATTGACAGAGCGACAGAGCGAGCTGCGAGCTGCGAGCTGGGGAGGCGGTTGGCTTTGGCCACGGCATCCATTTCAATTGAGTTGCAAGCGATTTGATTAGCACCAGACGCTAGCTGATCTTAGCATCTAAACTGGCCCGCCTCAAGCTGGAGTCAAGTGCTCTCTGTGCCAGTCCGCTTGCTATGCCTCAATTGTTTATATCCACATTTCAGCGGGTGTCGCCGTCAATTGCCTTGCATTCTGTTCCAATTGATTTGACACCATATTACTAATCAATATCGAGCTTCATATTATCTGTAGCTGTAGCTTCCGGCTCTGCTCCGGCTCACTGACCTGTAGCACCAAGGTAAACGTTACGCAAGATCAACATTATCCATTTGCCATTTTGGATTTATCCATTTCCTTTCAGGCCATTAATCATTTTATCAGAGAGATCTAAAAACCATTTCATAACCATTTTACAGAGCGAGAGATTCGCTTTCTAAATATTGAAACACAAAAACTTCCATTTATGATCTTTAATTTATTTCGGTTTTTTTGTTTTTTTACAATTCTTAATTCATGTTTTTTAATCTCTTTCCATTTCAGTTTTGTAAATTGTTAACAATGCTATGTGTACATGTACATTAGAACATTCTGTACATCGCAGCACATCTCTTGTATGTATATAAATATGTTTATCAAAATAATAAAATATATACTATTTCGTATCGTAATTTTAATTGCATTTCTTGTTGTATAAAACATCTATGCAGTGTGTGCTGGTGGTGCGGGGCAAAGGTAACAACAGATACAGATACAGATACAGATACAGATACGGATACAGATAGAGATACGGATGCAAGACACAAACCGATTGTAACGAGCAGAATTAACATATAGTATAGGCATTTATGTTTTGTATATATATATATATATATATATATATATATATTGTATAAGGTACATTGGATTGTTTTTAGTGTTGCATAGTTATATGTTTATTTAGTTGTCGTTGTAGTTGTTGTTGTTGTTGTTGTTGTATAAATGTACATATGCTAGGCACACGCAATCTGATAAGTTTGGTTTTTCTGTAGGTACAAACGATATCTTAGGATTGAAAATAACGCGTATGATTAGATAATTGCAGTTGGTGTGCACTTTGGACGTGAATCGAAAGCAGTTAAACACTTGCTTTCTTATTTCATTATATATTACTCTTAACAATTCGGTGCAAATAATAATTGTAGCTAGGGATCTATCATATGAATGTGCATGTGTGCACTTGTATTTGATCAGCTTTGATTCTTTATATTGCATTTATGCATTTTTACACATTTTGATGTATCTAGTTTCGAGTGCCTGGTTGCATCAGTCGCAGTTTCTACGAACACTTTACAATTTGGCAATTAATTATTGGATTTTTTGTAAAAATTTTGCAATTTCTAACAGGATTTATGCAGATACAAAAGAATGCATTTTGCCTCTTGAGCATTTCACATACAATTTGCAAAAACAATATAAAAAACATTTCAATTGTTAAGTACAGTACAATGACAAAGCACAATATAAACAATTAAGGCGAACAAAATATGCTCTTAAACTAAATGTATATTACGTTATATATACAAAAGTATATAAGCTATATATATTTTTTAAATATACATAATTCACGCCCTAACAAATTTACGTTTGAGGCCTATAACTAAAATGCACTTTCGATTACCACTGGCAAAGAACATGGAGTCGGGAGGCTTGTGAGTGTGCGTGATTCAGGTATTATAGTCTTAGACATAGGTTGTGGCATTGTCGCCAGCAGCTGCATCACTTCCATTTTGACGCTTGCGCAAAAAGTCCTCCGGCTCCGTCTGTGTAACTGCTGCACCGACCGTTGGATGTGTCTGTGACTGGGTAACTTCCTGTGCCTGCCTTTTCTCATACTCAATGATATGCTCCCGGAGTAGAAAGTTTTCGCGTTTGATGCGCTTAAGCAGACGGCCAGAGACGTCGGGCACAGCCCAGCGCAGTATGCCCTGCAGCATGGTTATTATATTCTGTAAAATCAATTCGTTAGGACAAGCATTTGAAAATGGAATCAATCAATGCAGCTCACTTGATAGATGACAATGAAGGCGAGACGGGCGGTCAAGATCTTCCAATAAATCATGGGTCGTTTATAGGGTGGGTTCTCCCAGGGATCGTTGCGGAACTCTATGTAATGGCACTCCGTTACATTCGCCTGGGCGCTAACATCCAAAAGCGATTGCGTCCCATAGTCCTTGGTATAAAAGGTAGCCAGTGTAAAGTTTAGATAACCATTTAGCTCTGGATCATCATGGGTGGCTTTGTAGACTAGTTTCGGTATAAAGTTGCTGCTAAATGCAATTATCATGGCCTGCATAGAATCAAAAAAACTATATTGATTTCCATATGATGACAACAAATAGGAATTAACTTACGCTAGAAGCGACCGCAATGTGCGTAACGACAGTCATTATGCTTTGCCAGACACCAATATTTCGGGCACGCATGCCCACGGGACGTCGCATAAAACGCAGCATCTTGATGGCATCGAGGCGGACCTCTATCACGTTATTGATCAGCGCCAAAAGAGGAGCCAGTGGAAATGCCAAGCTAAACAAGGTTATGAAACCGTATTGCACCACTAAAATGAAGAGGAAACATAACAATAGGTAAGTCAGATTTGTATTATAAAGTTCAATCATACCCATTTCCAAATATTCCTCGTAAAGTGAACTTTTTTCGGTGGGCAGCAGATTGAAATCTTCGGTAAACTGATTGGTAGAGGGCACCAGCTTCTGTTCACTGTGCCGCCTATACCAGTCATAACGCTGGCTGAATTCCTTGGCGGTGCGCTTTAGAAAGGGTATCAGCATCTCGACGATGGCATTAACCGCCTGCTTGCCCACCATAATAATGACCAGCTGGACGCAGAGCTCCATGAGGCAGCCACCCGGATTGCACTCCTCCTGGCGAAAGCTAAATATGCGATTGTATTTGGAGGGATAACCAACGAATTTGCCCTTTAGGAATGCTATATAGAATAGCGATGAATAATAGTTGACAAATTGGAACACATAGTTCTTGATTGTGAGGCTCTCATCGTACTCCGTCTGGGTGCGACAGTATTCGTAATTGGTCAGCCGAACCGCCAAATGGCTGTAGACCATGTCCAATATGGAGATAACAATTAAGTCCAGGAAACCCGCCGTTATGGGCAATACCATTATTCTGTACGTCATCGTGTTCTCGTTCGCAAGAATAGTATGGGATGCCCGCTGCGCCATGCGATAGATGATGATCGCCGCCACGGCGATCAATGATATGCAGATCTAGAAGGTAAATGCGATAACAAATTTATAAATACGAAGAGGACAGCGAGTGGATTTGATTCACTTACAAACAACACCATGATGCTATAACTTGTAAAGTTGGGCAGAAACTTAGTGCTCCAAAAGGGCACATCAGGATCGAAGGTGGTCTTTGGGTCGTTCAGCTTATCGCTAAACCGCTTCGAATTGGATATTTTGGCGAGATATTGTGGCCGTGGATGCTCCACATGATGATTGAAACCGGTCAGACCCCAACGATGAACCAGTCCCGCCGAATATCGCTTCCACAGCTCCAAATAGACAACAGCCCAAATGGCCATCACAAAGGCAAACACCATCGTCATTTCGTTGTCTATCAAATAGTTAAACCTGGACGAGGTGCACGTCTCATTGAGACGCCAAAATTTACAGCCACGATCGCACTGGGGACACATGATCGTGTCGTTGTCATTGCAAATGTCAAAGCTAATCGGATCGCTGTTCCACGTTAGAAAGCCGTACACAAAGAAGAGTATGCCCAGAACGCTAACCGGTATCAGCATTTGCGTATAGAATCCCAGCCAGGCAAAATATAGCGCCACCTTCGGCCCAAAATAGTCCTTGATGTGATCCAACGGCTGCAGGCTGTCAAGAAGATAACAAAATGAATTAACTAATTAATAAATTGTGAGAGAACAGGGATAAATATCACCCACTTCTTCCATTTGCCAATGTTCGCCCACTCCTTTAGCAGTTTGCCGCGCGTGTCCTTCTGCAATACACAATTTGTTGTTCATATATATGTAATATATACATATATATAGTTAGTTGATTTAAGCCAGCTTACATCGTGCAGGGTATATGCGCAGAGATAGACGCCATCCGCGATGAGCTTCTCGATGCCCAGATTATCAGCCTTCTCTTCGCCGCCTTCGAATTGCTGGCGCTGCATTATGAAATTGATAATGGAATAGCGTGTGCTCTCATCAAAATAGTTCGGATGCTCCTCGTCAAATAATTCCAGATATTTGCGGGCGAATTCCAGATGAATGCGCGGCTTCCGATCCGGAAACAGTTCGGTGTTCAGCTGCACGGAACTGAAGAGGCTGCGGCAAATGCGATTGACTGTCCTAAAGTCGGGCGTGGTATCAGCGATTATTTGCTCCTGACCTGGTATGATCTTCAATGGCATCTTGATCTTCAAAATCTCGGCATACCGATAGAGCACCTCGACGGGCGCATGCAGCTTGACAAAGTGCACCCATTGCTCCTTATAGTACTCTAGCTGTATGCCTTCGTTCATCAGATTCGCCTCGAAGATCCGACGTTTGCCAGCCGCCACTTCGTCCACATCCTCGCCCTTGTAGGCCAGCACAAAGTCCACGCTGCGTCTGCCATCGTTGAAACGTCGGTACGTCTGCGATAAAAGATGGAAACAAGCATTTGATGAATATGTCGGTAAATATATATGTATATATAGATCGATTGTGTGTGGAAAGCGCGTGTAGGTGCGTGTGCCACGTTTAACCACCACAAAAATCAAAACCAGCATCTAAATAATATCTCACACTATCTTTAGTCGCTTCCCTCTCTGAACGTAAGGTCGAGCGCAAAGTCTTGGAAATTAATTGGCAGAACATGCTGCGACTTAATCGATTTGCTGCACCATACAAATGAAACTGCAGGCTCTCCGGCTGTCCGGCAAGATCTTATATGAAGTGAGGGACCCCTTATGGAGTAAGAATTCTTGTTCCAACTCCAACTATCGCGACTCAGAGCCAGTCGGGCTTAATCGGGTTCAATTCTTTGAAATACGACGTCTGTTCGTATTGATTATAAATATAATAAATACGCACAGAATTCCAGAGAGGTTTTTTTTTGCATATTAATCAGTTATGTTTAACTAAAGCAAACAGCAACTGTTAAGCCCTTATCAGGACGCACAGCTGTGTGCATATCATAAAATTTATCTTCATTTCAAAGTCTTGATGGGATACAATATAAACAAATATTTAAGCGACGAATTTTTTGTGACCTTGCAGAGGTTATTATGATTTTCACACAAATCAGACACCATAGAGAATATACATATATAATCGTGTTCAACACCCGAGTAGCTATCTGATTAGGAGCTGTCGCTCGAAGAATGCGAAAAACGTTGTTTTCTAAAATATTCTATATAAAATGCAGCATTTCAGTTATGCAGTTTGAATTGTCGCGCTCAGTGGATACTTGGTAACAGCTTTGAATTTGAATAGTTTCCCCTTATTTTCCACGCTTATGAGTGTGTTCAATATACATATGTATGTACTTAAAATTAATTAATGTTCAAGCTATGTATGTATGCTGTACACATGTACAAATGCTAAAAAATTGCCATTACCCATTCCCGCAAGCAAACTATTGAAAAAGAGAGAAAAAAGAGAAAGAAAACGGTGAGAAACGTAGCCAGCAAGTTAACAAAATGCGTGGGCGTGATATGTTTTACCGAAAATCAAATTTAAGAAAATTAAAAATATGTATGCAAAATGCAACCGTTCAGTTTTTTAAATAAAATACACTCTATCGAGTAGATGCATTTAAAGCCAACTAACAAGAGACAAATGAGATTGGGTGAGTTTTCTATGCGGTGTTGTAATTGGAACGCTGCAAATGAAACATGATCGTAATGGTAAGCTCGTGCGACTGAGATGAGAGATGAGTGAGAAAAATAGGCGACTGCAGCGTAACATAAGATATGCATAGAGAGACAGACAGAGAGAGAGGGAGAGAGAGAGAGAGAGAGAGAGAGAGTGTGTGTGCCATTGAGTAGCTGCTTATAATAATTGGCATATTGAGACATTTGGCATTGCGTTGTGCTTCTTGTATTTTTTTTTTTTGTTTTGCTTATTTGTTTTTTTTTTTGTTGATCGTTGATCGTTAATTGTTTACCCTCAATTTCCACTGGGAGTATGTAATTGGCAATTTCTTATCTTTATTAGAAACTGTGCTACTTTGTCTTAAAAGACGTCTAGAGACCTCATCATCGCCGCTGCCGCCGCCACCAGCACCAGATCGGCCATAACTATAGCCACCGCCAGGGCCGCCTCCGCCGCCGCCAACGCCAATGCCGGTGGGCAGATGTGTGCGTCCATTTTGTAATGCTAGCACCTGAGCCGCAATGGCAGCATCCGTATGATCACCACCACTATAACCGGCACCATTTAGATGCTCCAGCGCCGTTGACTGTCGATAGCCCGGCTGCCAGGGCAGCCTGTGCTCCGCGCCCAGTCGCATACTGTTGCGCGTCTCATCTCCGGCCAGATCCACCGCCGAGTGGTAAATTGTGTTTCGTGACTGCGATAGCGACTTGCGATGCGCCGCTGCCGCCTCCGAATCGGCCAGCGAGATCGTATCAAAGTAGAGACTCTCACGCTCGTCCATTTCCGATTCGGGATAATCGTAGTCGTGGGTGCGCACTGCAAACAGTATTACAGATTAGTCGCCTGCTTATGCAAAATGCGTCAGTTGTACACGCATGTAAATGTGTATTTATGTATATGCACATAGATATGTGTGTTTGTATTGTGTGTCACAGCAAAGCACGGTATGAGTTGGCATGGTATGTTATGCTATGAAGGTTGCAATATGCTGATAGTGGGCACATTCTGCATAAAAGCTTTGGGCTAATCGAATGATAAAAATAAAATGCCGCGGCCACTAATCAATTAAAATTGGCACAGTGGGTCATACATACACAAAAAAAAATAATTCCTGCAACAAGAATTCCACCTGATTCTTTTCATAATAGTTTTCTAAATATGTATATTAAATCCAAAATGTTGTACGAAAAATTGCAAGTGGTTTAGCTTAAACGCTGCAACATAAATATTTAAAAAATAAATAATTCTGAAGAGCAATAATTTAAGATAAACTGCATTGAAAATATATTTAGGTTAAAACGTGTTTGCAGTTTAATGACAATCGCCCCACTGTGCGCGAGCTAATTTAAAGGCGAAATGGAAGTTATCAGTAGGTGACGGCACCCAATGCGGGTACTTATATTTGGTAAAATGGGGGTCATTGAAATGCGGCCAATTATGTAATTGCTTGATATGGGAGTAAGAGAGCCACCAAATGGATGATCATCCATTTCCGGCTGAGAACAGTGCAAAGTGACCAATGTGCGGCTGTCATATTACGATTTGACGATGACTTCATGCAGATGTGATGCTAAAGTGTATGATCATGTGTGTTTTTGCGGGGGGTGCATCTATAAACAAATTAAAGCTATTGAGCAGATGTAATGTAGATGTATACACCTGCGTAGACAGCACACACGTATTTGAACAAATGTAAAAACAGAAATGATCTTGGATCTCAATAGTTAAGCAAACATCAAACCCTCGACAAACCGATATAAACACACACACTAAAAGAAAAAACGTCTAAAAATATCAAATCAAATTATGTACGTTAATTTGCATATGAATGAATGTGAATGTGAATGCGAATTGGAACTGAGCGAGAGCATATCGATCATGTTTGTTTTTGTTATTTATTAAAGGATGCATACGTATGACATATGTTTGTATGTATTTGTGTATTGTCATTTATTTACCCGCTGAATACATTGTTGAGGCACAGTGAAAGACAGCAGTAAGAGAAGTAGAGAGAGAGAGGGAGAGAGAGCGACAAGAAAAGGAAGTTGAAGAGCAGAGCCAGCCAGGCGGCAGCTTAAAGTATCGAGTATTGTACTTGGTACTCTTTACTCGTTACACGTACTCGTTTCCAGTTCACGCTAAGCGCGCGATCGTTTGTGCAACAGCAGCTTTTGAGGACGTGCCAGGCATAACGGTAGACTGACTGACGGCAAAAAAAGAAGAAGAACAAAAGGCGAGAACAGAATAACCGTTTTTTAGCAGCAGCTTTTATAAACAAATTTCACGCCCGCACACACACACACACACACACACACGCGCAGAGAGATTGACCTGCGGCCAAATGATGTCAGCTAATAAAAAGAAAAGAATAATAAAAGCAAAAACGAATCGAGCTAGAAAAATGCGTACGCGCGCGTTGTTTGCCGATTACTGACCAAACTCAGGCAATGCGCCGTACGCAGAGCAGCAGCCAGAACAACAATAATAATAACAACAACAACAAGTGTTGATTGCCAAAAAGGCAACGACAGCGTGCAACGAGCTGTAACCGATACAGATATGGAATACACGCACACACGCATTCCCGAATTAAATAGAATACACATGCACATGCCCATGTACATAAACATAGACGTGTTTATATAAATATTTGCTTGGCCCCAAAGGTCAAGTTGAAGTGTAAATGATTTGTAACCTAAATCAAAGTGCGAAATTAGAAAGATGCCCAACCCGTTTTTTTTTAAACAAATACATACTTATGTACTCGGCGTATGTAAATAAATGTTGGCGAGTCTAATGCCGACTGTTTGGACCGCCAATGAAAAGTGTCGGTCAAACTATGTCACAAATTAAATATATGCATATATAAATATATATATATGTATATTTATTTATTTATATTTCGCATGCCGAAAATTAAATACTCTTGCGACCATATAGCAGATATGCGGTTTATTTATTTAATTTATGACGTCTTTTTTCTAAAAGCCATATTGGATATAGTTGTCCGATGTTGTTAGGAACAAAGTGAAACTCAAAATTGCTTAGCAAAAAGTTTATCATATAAATAACTCTGTTTTTAACCGGCATTTCGTGACAGTTATATTATATAGAAGACTAATCTACAAAAGGGGGATGCACAGCTATTTCGACTCGGTAGATCAAACTCAAATCAAGACTGTATATATCCAACAACCTTCTATACAAACTGTAACACATTCTGTGACAAAATGAAAATACCCTTCGCTGGAGTATAACAAGCTGCGTGGGAGGGCAACGTTAATGCAACGGCTACCACAGATTTTAGTTCTAAGAATTTTGATTTGATTCTTGAAAATGGCTCTAAGGCCAAATGACGACGTTGTTAGTCAGTGATGGGCGCAGGCTGTAAACTTGGTTAGATACACGCATTAGTAGCTGGTGCTGGAATTTGCAGTCCACTCGAACTCACCTCGGCCTCAGGTAGCAGCTGACCGTGGTTATAGCCTGTGTCAGCTCCACGATTGAATTGTTATTGGTTTCTTGTATGATGTATCGTTATTGTATATATATTGTGCGATCGTTGTGATAATCGTGCAGCAAAAGACGCCAGCGTAAGCGTCTTTGCTATGTTTTGTTATGGCTAAATTGCAGCTTGTTTTCCTTTGCACTTGACTAAAACTGGCAAACTATCGATATATCGATATCTTAATAGCAATATCGACTTATCGCATTATGACAACATATGGCTCAGGGCCAGGGGTGTTCCCTTAACCATACAACCTATGTATGATAATAATATATTTTTCGTACTATAAATTATTGTCCAAAGAGGTACAAAATATTCGAACAAATATATCAAATATTATATCCCTTAAACATTCCACACATACTCGGGGGAGTGCCGTTAATGTTGATTAGATGAATATCGATATATCATATATAGGGAATACGATGCTATCGTGACTTCATCACAATCTATAGACACGTCATGGTCAACAAAATTGTTAGTTGTATATATAATAAATAAACTGCCAAACACACACTTTTGCATGTGTACACGATCGCAACATGGTTTATATTGACCGCAGTGAGTATTCCCGAAACCAGACAGTTGCTTTGGATTATTATTGAAGCAATTGCTTTTTATTAGGTGGTCGCGTCTGGGAGAAGCGTCCTTGGGACTTCCAACGTGTTGTCGAGATATTTATAGGACTTTGGTATCTGATACTGCAATTGTAAGTATAATTGTTGATATTAAGAAACCTTTTTATATTAATATATTTTTATTTTCTTATAGCTTCCAGACCCTATTGGCACCTTTTAACGGTGGTAATGGAAATAACCGCAGCAACGAACGTCGTAGCACTGGTTGGGGTGGTGGCGGTGGAGGAGGAGGCGGTGGTGGTGGGGGCGGCGGCTCCGGAGGTGGAGGTAACGGAGGTCTAAGGCCCAACCGACGCATTGGACGCATACAACCAACTATTAATTGTAGTTCATGCTCCATGGGCGGTGGATGAGGATAGCAGCGGCGTCCACGAGTCTAAAACGCTCGGTCGTCGCTGAACTACAGCGTAGTCAAAAAACATTCATAAATACTCCATATCGGTATTAGATCTCGCAAGATTTTTTGCGCATATGACGCAGCATTCATAAACTCAAAGCTGAGTGGAATGTTGCTGAATGGGTTTATGCTGATTTGAAGCTTGTTCTCTTTTGGCTACGTTTTACAAATAATACGAATATAAATTAGCTCGATTTTAGCATTAAGTAATTTTTTTCTTACAAAACCGTTCTCTAATATTCAACGCAACATTAAATTCTCTGGAATTTATTGGGCTACATAATATACTTTACATTACATTAACACTAACTGAAATGTAATTAAAATTGTAAATGTATCCAAAAATAATACATTTTATATTTTTAATAAGGTGTTCGATAATTAATATTATTGTTTTCTCTTTCATTATTTATAAAAAATCTGCAACTAGAATACAGATGTTTGTGCAAAAAAAATTTGCATTCTGTTGAATACAATACAACAACAGTCCAACAGAATCTTTATTAAAAGTAAATTTAATACTTTCAAATAAATATAGAATTTATGAACCAGAACTAGTTCAGCTAAAAAAAATCGAACTGTTTTCTAGTTCCAGCCACATGTGTAAATTAAAATATATCGAACATTTGACGTTTCATTTTCATTTGTTTCGTTAGTTATCTGCTACAGCGAGTCAATCGTATTGTACAACATACATACATACGAGTGCGTGTGTATGCTCGTAATTTTTTGGAGAATTAAAAAGCGTTCTTAGTAATATTTTCGGACCTCAGCAACAGCGTTTAACAAAAACGAGCCAAATTGTTAAATATCACATGAGCCGAGCTTTCTAACTGCTCAAAATATGGATATGGAGGCTGAAAAAGGTATTACACAAAAACGGAAAAATTCCTTAGCGTTAGCGTGCTTATGCGCTCACATTTTGTTTTCTAGGCGAAGCGTTCAACAAGGAACCGGATGGTGACAAAATAATGGACGCGGTGCCGACCTCGGAGCCAGATTCGAAAACTATTCAAGACAATGAAGTTGATTCAACATGCATTGTGGAGGAATCGGCCATCGTGCCTCCTAGCGAACCAGTAGAAGAAAAACCTAGATCTCCGCGCACAAGCAGTCGTTCGCCTAGCGCAACACGAAAATCGCGTAGCCGTAGCGGCAGTGTTGTTGATAGCTCGCGACGCTCTCGTAGTCGTTCTGGGTCCAGACGGTCGCGTAGTGGATCTGGCCAACGTTCACGAAGTGGGTCCCGACGCTCCCGCAGTGGGTCTGGATCCAGGCGTTCGCGCAGTGGATCTGCACGTTCGCGAAGTGGCACACGCTCCCGCAGTGGCTCTAGACGTTCACGAAGTGGATCAAAACGATCTCGTAGCGGATCAGGTGGACGCTCCCGCTCTCGTAGTGGATCCAGACGCTCACGCAGTGGTTCAAGACGTTCCCGTAGCGGATCCAAACGTTCTCGTAGCGGATCCAGACGCTCCCGTAGTGGATCTGGATCTAAGCGCTCGCGAAGTGGATCTGTGCGCTCACGTAGTGGATCTAGGCGTTCACGTAGTGGATCGAGGCGCTCTCGAAGTGGCTCTAGGCGCTCGCGTAGTGGATCGGGCGGACGTTCCCGAAGTGGATCTAGACGCTCTCGTAGTGGATCTGGATCCAAACGCTCGCGCAGCGGCTCCAGGCGTTCCCGAAGTGGATCCAGGCGATCACGTAGTGGATCTGGGTCCAGACGATCACGCAGTGGATCTGGGTCCAGACGATCACGGAGCGGATCAGGAGGTCGTTCCCGTAGTGGATCAAGACGCTCGCGCAGTGGTTCAAGACGCTCCCGTAGCGGGTCAAGGCGTTCTCGTAGCGGTTCTGGCTCTAGACGCTCACGAAGTGGATCGCGTTCTCGTAGTGGTTCTAGACGATCACGTAGTGGCTCCAGGGCCTCCCGTGCCGCCTCAGTGCACTCTCGCAGCCGCTCCAACAGCGCTGGCTCCACACACAGTCCTGGTAAATCGAAAAAGAAGTCCCGATCGCGCTCAAACAGTATTGCCGAGTCTGTTACCTCACAAGATGCACTGAATCGCAAACGAGCTGCAGCGAGTGACTCGGAAGGTAAGTTATATATATATATATATATATCTCAGGAATATATACACACATATATATATATTTTGTTTCCCCCACCGTAGATGACACACCAAAGCTACAGAAAAAACGTGTTAAAATCACAGACACAGATAACGAGGATGAAGAGAATACGGATAAGCCGGCCGCCGAAGGCGACGATGCGGAAAAAGCAAAGGAAAAAATTGTCGAAAGTTCAGATGATGAAAACACGCCCATTTCAAACGAACCAGAGTAAGTGGCCATAATTACCATTAGCAATTACACAGTTATTTTTGTATATAATGTTCTTATAATTTCTTTAGGAACAGCAACTTTATATCTGACTTCGATGCAATGCTGCTGCGTAAGAAGGAAGAGAAACGCGTGCGTCGCCGCAAGAGAGATATCGATATGATAAATGACAATGACGATCTAATCGATCAATTGATTATAAATATGAAGAATGCATCCGACGATGATCGGCAGCTGAATCTGGTTGGCAAGCCGGCAACAAAGAAAATTTCAATGCTCAAACAAGTGATGTCGCAGCTGATTAAAAAGGATCTACAATTGGCCTTTTTGGAGCACAATATACTCAACGTACTTACAGATTGGTTAGCCCCATTGCCAAATAAAAGCCTGCCTTGTCTACAAATACGGGAGAGCATTCTAAGGCTGCTATCCGATGTAAATATAGCCATTAACAAAGCTTGCCGACAGATTTATATAACTATTTCTTTCCCTTCCGTTCACTATCCCTCTAACTCTTTTTGTTGTTGTCTCTCTCTTATTCCTTCGGTAGTTCCCGACCATAGATAAGTCCTATTTAAAGCAGTCTGGAATCGGAAAAGCTGTTATGTACTTGTACAAGCATCCACAAGAGACAAAGACAAATCGCGATCGTGCGGGACGCTTGATATCCGAGTGGGCACGGCCCATATTTAATTTAAGCTGTGATTTCTCAGCCATGAGCAAAGAGGAACGTCAAGAGCGTGATCTAGCGCAAATGTCCCGCAATCGCCATAAGAGCCCAGATCCAGAGCCCGCATCAAGCAGCAATCCACCATCGTTAAATCAAACATTCTCGAGTGAGGATAAATTGCTTCGTCCTGGAGATCCCGGCTGGGTGGCCCGCGCCCGTGTACCAATGCCTTCCAATAAAGATTATGTTATTCGCCCAAAGTCAACCGTAGAAGGCGAAGTTTCGGTAAGACGCTGACATACTATTTCCCATATCCATCGATTAATATTTTACCCTTTTAAAATCGTGTAGTCCTCAAAGCGAAAGCCCAACCGCTATGAAAAGCATATGAAACGCTTCTTGGATTCGAAGCGCTCGAAGGAGAGCCGTCGTGCCGTCGAAATATCTATAGAGGGTCGCAAAATGGCGCTTTAAGGATAGGATACCACTAGCTACATACATTTTATATACAGCATTCAAATCAACTGAACAAAACGAAATATATATATAGTATATATATATAGTATAGTATTATATATATATATGCATCCATATATAATACTTATCGCCTTTCTGTAGATGTATGTATGTATAAAGGCATCTTAAAGTGAACATAAACTCAAGTCATTTGTATCTTTCAGACTTATATTCGACAATTGCTGGCCGGCTTAAGTAAATAATTGAGTTCCTCAAGCACCACAGATGCAAATGGAAATGCTCTCCGCACACAATACTTAAGTCGCCGATGTCCTGTGATACGCTTTTTCAATGTCACATGCAAGTTTAATCTACTTACGACATACAAACTTATATATATATATATATATATATTCTACAAACTCTTCGGCGTAGACCTCATAGTGTTAACTTGAATAAAATTGAGTTAAAATGTTTTAGATGCCAACGCGCTTAAGAGTGGCGGCCCGAAATGCGAGATATCATCCATCAAGCCGAGGAGAATGAAGATAGGGCATAATAAGCAATATATTGTTCCAAAATAACTGATCCGACGCAATTGATATATACAATTAAGATGCTTATTAGAACCCGAGTTAATAAATACGATAATTGAGAACTGCCATCTCATACTCCTCTTTATCATTTGCAATTTAACGCTATTTTCCTTTCTTTCATGAATATCTCTTAACAAGGAACCACATATAGATATTGAGAACATTAAAAAAAAAAAATCAAAAATTTATAAACCTATTCTGCGTATATATAATATATATCTCAACTTCCAAGCCTCTAGCTCGTTTTGTTTCCGAGCTCGACGAGTTGCTACAGATGGACATAGCTTAATCGTATCAGCTCGTCGTCCTGGTCAGGAATATATATATATATAGTTTATGGGATAGGAAATGCTTCCGTCTACCTTGCCCTTCGTGTGCCTTATACGACAAATCTTAAATATAGTTATGAAATGTCTACTTATTATTGCTGGATACATTTAACTAAGGTAGGTAATATCTAGTGCTCTGCAAATATATTGTCCATATGCTAAGTAAATATGGATTTGTCTATATGTATGTACATATGTATGTAGGTCTTCATTTGATAATTCAAACACTCATTTTTATCTCTGACGGTAGTTATACACTTGCTATAAATGTGTGTGAATAGCGAATCGCATAGATACTTCCAGTTGGTAAACAATTTGAAAAGAGAATTAATATTAAATGTCAAATTAAGGGCATTTTGACAAAAATAAGAATTAAAATAAAAGCCCCCAGTTGCGAATTAGATGAGAACGAGATTCACGATTATGCACATGCATATGTAAATAACTGTTATTCCACTACATTCAAATTGAGACCGGTTGGTTTTTCTATGTATATGTATGTATATTCATGTTAAATATTGTTTTTGGCATTCTATTTTTAGGATTTTGTTGCGGTAAATTTTCCAGCGGGCTCTCCGCTTTGATTTACTCCTCGCTGCTGCTGCGGCAATAAAAACTAGCTGAATTGTTGGTAGCCATTATCTGTACTGAAATCAGCAACACCCCGCATACATCACACTTTGTGTACATATGTAGGTCGCGTTCACCTTTTGTTGTTATCGCTTAATAAGTATTAAACCGGTTGCGCTCTACATATAAGTGTTCAAACGCATCAAGTGCTCCGCCTAATGTGGTAGTCGAGTTCTTTCGGTTCGCATTGTAGTAAAAAAAAGACGCAATCAAATCAAAACGAAACATGTCTGAATTGAAAAAAAACGCTAAAATCGGCATTGTCGGCAGGTAGGATATGCCCAGATCCATGCATGCATACATAATTACATTACATGTGCATTGACAGCGGTCTCATCGGACGCTCTTGGTCCATGCTGTTCGCCTCGGTTGGCTACCAGGTGGTGCTCTACGACATCCTGCCCGAGCAGGTGCAGGGCGCATTGAAGGCAACGCAGAAGGAATTGGTCGAACTGGAGGGCAAGGGCTTGCTGCGCGGCAAACTGAATGCGGCGCAACAATTTAGCTGCATTTCGGGCACCAACGATATCAAGCAACTGGCCAAGGGTGCCATCTTTATACAGGAGTGCATACCAGAGAAGCTGGAGTGGAAGCAGGAGCTGTTCAAGAAACTCGACGATGTTGTCGATAGCAACACCATCCTTTCAAGTTCCACGAGCACGTTCCTGCCCTCCCTCTTTACCGCGAACCTAATGCACAAACATAACGTGAGTTTCGAACACTTTTGGGGCCATGGAAAATTTATAAAATTCTTTGTATGTATGTGTGTGTGTGAGTGTGTGTGTGCATATACATATCAGCATGTCGAGCGACATTATCTGGACCTGTCATTTGTCCCAGTGCTATTAGCATCTAATCTTGTACTTAGCACCAAGATTGATTTATGACCTTTTGCGCTTTTAGACTGTTGTCTCCCATCCCGTTAATCCGCCCTACTATGTGCCGCTGGTGGAAATAGTGCCAGCGCCCTGGACGAAGCCAGAGGTCGTGCAGAAGACGCGCGCCCTAATGGACGAAATTGGTCAGAAACCCGTTACGCTGTCGCGTGAGATTGAGGGCTTTGCCCTCAATCGCATTCAATATGCCATTCTGAACGAAACCTGGCGTCTGGTCGAGGCGGGCATACTCAACGTCAAGGACATTGATAGCGTTATGAGCGACGGCCTGGGCATGCGTTATGCCTTCCTGGGGCCACTGGAGACGGCGCATCTGAATGCCGAGGGCATGGCCAACTACTTTGAGCGCTACTCGAAAACTATCTATGCGGTCAGCGAGACCATGGGCCCTACACCCAAAATGGAAGGACCCACTGCCGAGGATATTGCCGAGCAGCTGAATGAAATGGTGCCGCTGGACAAGCTGGTGGAACGCCGAACGTACCGTGACAACTGTCTGACTCACCTGAGCTTGTTGAAGAATAAGCTCAATAACAAATAAATATTATCACAAATTAAAGCTGTTCAATTCAGTTTACAGCAACAGACAAGCATTTATGTGAATTCTTTATTAGGTCGGCTTATAAATATGCAGGAAAGTTGTTTTGTAAATTTAGAGAATTAAGTACAAGGCTTAAACTGGAAAACTTAATGTTTTTTTTTTCTTCTCGGTATCAGTTCACTTAAGCTTACAGGGGACGTCAAAGAATCAAACGCGGACGGCTTCTTATATTTAATTTTTAAGTACTTCCAAGCGAATTTTAATTATTTTAATTGGAAACATCACATATTGGCTGGCATTCATTGTGCAGCTTTCTTGGTGTAACTTGCAGGTCGCAAGCTGGGCGTGGACGCGCACGAGGAGTTGGAATAGCTGCTCACTGGCTTCAGGGATCTGCGCTGAAATGAACGCATCTGCGGCATGGGTGTGCTTGTACAAAACAATTTGCTGGCCATCTTGCCTTTTGCCGTAATGGGCGTGTCTTGTCCGTTGCAACGTGCCGTCGTTGAATTCAAATATGTGACCTCTGTGGACGCTAACGATGGCTTCACCATGGGCACTACACGTTTGATGGGTATATTTGCTTTAGTCGATGCACAGGGTTTAATCTGTGATTCATTTATGGCTGTGACTTTTGTGCGGCCTCCAGCCAAATGGGTTCTGCCCTGGGCGGCAGCAGACAATGCTGCAGCAGATGCGCTCGTTTTACCAGCTGTCGAACCAATGGAAAACGAATTGCGACGTTGTCTGAGGGATGCCATTGCATTCATTTTCTCACCCACGTTTGACAGCTCCTTCAAAGGCACGTAGGGACTGTGGCTGTCACCCGAAGATTGTTTCACTAGTGATTTCGGCCGATCTTGCTTGGACTTATCGTGAATTGACAGGGATGATGATCGTCGTCGCAACGTATTCTCCTGGTTATTAGTTGCAATTGATTGTACTGCTCTGGTTGTGCTTGGATGCACTATGCAGTTGGGTAATTGATTAACGCCCGCTGAGTTTACAACCAATATTACAGTTTGGCTGTGCTCCGATTCGCGTTGATGTTGGTCGCTATCATTGTTCTGCAGCTTGGTTAGGTTGTGCCGCTCCAAAAGTTCGTTTATTTGTAGTGCTAAATTATCGTTAACAACCTCAGTCACATACGAATCTGGCTTTTTATGCGTTATGTCGGGAGTTAATTTTTGATATTCACTTTCTGTAGACGGACTTGCTGGCTTGTCAAGTGATTCAGCATCATATGTAGCCGAAGAGCATGTCATTGCATCTGGAAATTCCTGTATGTTTCCGTTAAACGCCTTAACAATATCTGCAGACTCTGCTTTCCCTTTCTACAAAAAAGATCAAATATATATACTTATTTCTTTTGGATTGTGCGCAGTTGAAACTAACCTGTAGCTCAAGGTCCAGATCGAATGTTGCTTGGCGTGTGTACACGTGCGGTGACTCCTTTCCCATCCGACTAGTATCCTCTGCAGTTGGGGTACTGCAGTGGACAGCGGCACTGATCGATTCAAGGAGCTTATCGAATTGCTCCCTTTTGGATATGTCAACGTGCTCACAAATTAAACACTTCAAGTCTTGCAAGAGCTTCCCCACGTCTGCCGCATTTGTGGCCACACTAGTTGTTGGTGTAGTCATTGTCATTGGATTCTGTTCGCTAAGAACAGCTGCAGGTGGATCGGATTTAGCTGGGGAGTCCAATATAGCAATTCGCATCATCTTTAAGCGTGCCTCGAATTCTGTGTTGGAGCAGGCATCGTCACTCAGCGGGGTAACTGGACTAGTGTCTGGGATTGGATTTGGCTCATCTTCTATCAGCTTAACGGGCGATTCTGCCGCAAGCATTTGCAGATTCTCGCTGAGAAACGAGCTCTCAAAACAGGAGCCAATTACATTTGAAGAAAAATTTGCCAATTGACTGTGCGTTGGCGTCTTAAGACTGGATAGCCTTGTGGCATTCAGCTTGGCCAGCTGTTGTAGAGTTCGATGCCGCGACTCGCTGCTAGTCGATGCATTTTTGTTCGCATCTCCATTTTTCTGTGTAAACTCCATGGCAACGGGTGGTGTCTCATTGATTAGGTCATGATCTTCGTTTTCATGCAAATTGATGTCTACCGCAGTTTGTGTTCTTTCCATATCATTTTTAAAATTTTCGCCCTGTGTAGAGGTAAGTCATTAAAACAAAGGGTTCATGTGTTGCCTATGTGTGTGTGCGAACAGACCTTGATGCAGGCTTCTTTTTCCATCGAATCAAAAGGATCATAGGGTCCCTTAAAATGATTCGATTCAGTTTGAACATTTTCAATGACTGTTTCATCTTTGACAGGCTCATCCCAACCTGTTAAATCAATAAGATTTCCAACATCACACATTTTATTAGACAATTACAATGAAACTGGCGGAAGCCTTTTAAAACAATGCAGAGTTTCCCGCTTCTAGTTCGTTCTAGTGATGGTAATTGTGCAACCATATGTACATATGTACAAAATAATGATTCGATACTCGCAATGCTTATCGAACATCTGAAAGAGTACAGCCTTTGTGGCACAAGCCGGTACGTGAGCACATGTTAAATGCTAAATTCTCAGGATATATTATTTGATGCCATTATAAAATATAAGCTATGATAAAAAAAAACAAAAAATTATACACATATACGCTTCAACCATCCTTTAGCTAAATAAGTGGTAATGCCGAAGGTAATTTTCTCTACAAAATGGTTGCCAAGCAACCAATTGGCTCATTTGAACGTTCTTTTGCTATCGTAACAACAGAAACAGATTTTTTGTTCTATTCCATCATTTCCGATATACGATAAACGGTCTTAAGCATAGATGGGCCTGGTAACATAAACACAATGACTAATTAATTATAAAAATCCACACATACGGTTCGGATTTCAAAGTACAAGTACATATTATACATATGTAATTGATGTCAATTTACAACTAATTACTAAAACAATACTTTTTTCAAAGGGGTTACGGTAATGCTGCTTGGATCATCATAACAAAATAGTTTGACCACATTTTTTATTTGAAATACTTAAGTTTGAGTAAGCCCAATTAATAATCATATAGCAGAATGAAGTTGGCAGCCGTTTCCTGGATATGGTCAATCCTTATAATATGCGGAATTTTTGAAGCGCAGGCGCAATTAAATTTGGATAAACTTGATCTGCCAAGCCAAATTCCAGATGAGTTGTTAAAATCCAACTTTAGCTACAGCCAAGTCAAAGAAGTATTCCGCAAAAAATGCATAGAGGTGTCCGGCGAAGAAGCTGGCGACCGGGCATATAATGATATTGAGGCCGGTGCTTTAACGCTTAGCGAATGCGTAAATAGTCTTGTCAATTATACAACACTGCAGCGGGAGATACAAGAGGCAAGTCCCGAAGGAGAACTGGATGTCGTGTTCAACAAGTATTGTGCTAAACGAACGAATGCCATAGACTGTTTTGATGTGTTCACGAATAAGCTGCTGCCATGCTTGGACAAGGAGGAGCAGGAAAGCCAGGACGTAATTAAACGTATTATCCAAAGTTTGTTGAACTTTGTGTGCCATAAAGATGGTGACCAAATAGCCTTATTTATTGCGGAAGAAGGTCCCGAGTGCCTTGAATCACAAAGGGACAATATTCAACAGTGCGTTAACAGCACCTTTTCTACGTACTTTAACGAGGCAGATATGCACGATAGTAATAAAATCAAGGCAATACCCAAATTGGTTGTGGGCCAGAAACAGTGCAGTGATATAAAAACTTTGGAAATATGCATTGTACGTCACCTGGAGCACTGTTCAAAAATAACGCCGGCCAATCTAATAGAGTCCATGTTCAATTTTATAAGAAACGAAACTCTGTGCCGCAATTACCAGCAATTGGCCTTAACTGGAAGCGCAAATGCGCTGACCAACACTCACACAAATGGCATCCTCTTGTGTGCTCTATTGATATTTATACTTAGTAAGATATATTGCTTTAAGTAATTTTTTTTGTTCTTGGATTCGAAACATTGAACTTGCCGTGTTCAAGTTTGTATTCTTCGCGGAAATCGCTTGCCAAAAAGTGGGTGCGTTAATTGTGAGACACGAATATTTTTTTTTTACAATCTGCCTAATCAGATAAGGTGCAAATGTTACAGCAAAGAAAACGAACAAATGAACTTGAGGACATTGTTCATACATACATATGTATTATTTGCGTGCTTTATGTATCTTTGTTCTCGGTTCTCAGCTTATAAGTTATTTTCTCTACACAACAGTGTTTTATTGTAATCTCCTATATCATATAAATGTAGACATCTCTCTATTACTATATATGTAAATCAAGTAAATCTCATACATATAGAAAACCTTTTATATAGAGGGCACAGGTTTAAAGTTTATCAAAATATGGAATGTCAACGGAAACGTGAAAGTATCAAAATGTGAAAATAAATAAATCAAAATAAGACAGTAGCAATTAATTTTTTTAATCTTTTCTTTTTTCAGTATAGTAAAAGTGTAAGTAAGAGCTGAAAGCAGTTTTATCTAATTTATGCAAAATAAATGTGCAGCGTTTTCCCTAATCCGTTATTTTAGACAGCAGTCAGTATTTATTTAAGCAAGAATTAGCACCATTTTGTAAGCGCGAGTTGGATATTCCAATAGCTCGTGTTAGCTCAGGTCTCCCATCTCTAATGCGCAGCTGGCTTGCCTTCCACATACATATGTATGTGCACAAGCCTCAGCTTAGGCTCAAACTATAAACAACATTCTAAAGTGTTAAATATGATTATTAAATGAAGTGTTAAAAGTATATAGGAAACTGTTATCTTATATATAGATTCAGCTATTGAAACAGTCTACGTCTACTGCCAAACTATGGAGAATATTGAGACTGCAGCATTATCTGACCAGATAACTAAGTTTAGCATTGTAATGACTGCAATTTCGGCATTTATGCGATTCATTACGATCTTGATGAACTGGTATCTGGCATATGAGTATTGGAAAATGGAATCGTATACCTATTGCCACTGGACAATTGCATCAATATTATTACCCATGATTTTAACGACGCTAATCTATTCAAATGTGTAAGCAAATGTTTGTTTTTATATGTTATCCTTTTTGTTTTATCGTATATCCATTTTAATTTGCAGACTAATCGTTACTAACCTAGGTAAAAAGAACGTCATCTGTGCGGACCTATTTTGGAAACTTGTACTCACGTATTTGTTTCGAGAAGCAACTACCTTGAATTGGGCATTGAAGTATAATGAGGCTAAAAAGCGCGGCGACAAGATTGCTGAGATTGAGTAAGAAGAAGACGAAAGAATGTCGACAAATCTATATTTGATTTGTTTCCATTTATATATATCTCTAGATGTTATCACAGATATTTAAAGGAAGAATGTAACGTGGGTTTCATACGACTCTTCGATTCATTTTTAGAATCTGCTCCCCAAAAAGTATTGCAGCTTGCTATTGTATTGCGATATATCAAAAGTTTGACGTGTAATAAGTATAATGCACTATGAGTTTATATTTAAATATGTTTAGTACGTTCATAATGCAGAGGCAATTTATTTTCAGATCTACGTGCCGTGACCTTTTTAATATATTTCATAAGTATCGCTTGGTGTTTATTGGCCTATAACCGATCGAATCGCTTGGTTCAGCTAGACAAATACGACATAGAAACAAAAGGACTTGTCGTACAGTTCTGTTTTCTACTCAGTTTCACGGGTAAGTTGAACTGATTCTGCATGAAATAATTTTATATCAAACATTATTATTTAGCTTCCCGCACCATTTGTATTGCATACATGGCCAGTATATTTCCTATGGAAACTTTTGCGGCTTGCATTCTACATATATTTCTGTGCGGCACTGTAGTCTTCGTAGTGGACTCCCCGACGTTTGGAAGATCTCAGTTATTGAATTACATATTGTGCCTTACATTTGGAGTGGTATATCTATTCATATTTACACCTGTTTCAGATGGACCAACAAAGTATAAGTATATCATTTATTTATCGTTGTGCTTTTTACAAAATCTATTTGCTTGTATAATTTGGATTCCCTTTTATTTGGCCATATTAATTAATGGGTTTTTTATATTGGGCATTGCTCTTATGATTTACTATTATTTGCAATGCCATCCAGGAATTACGTCTGCTATATTTTAATAATTAATGTAGCATACAGTGCAAAATAAAATTCAAATTGGTATTTTTTTTTATTTACATATATATAATTTATTCTTTTATAATCTATATTGTGTTGCCTTCTCGCTCGCTCTTAGAGAGCGCATGCGCGCAAGCGTGGCTTGAGCCGACGATTAAAGTTAGCTTTGATTTGCAGTTTTTGCGTTATGAAGAGCTGGTCACACTTAAAGAAATGGCTTAGACTAGGTGGCAGTGACTTACCAAGCAAGCCATCAGCAACAAATTAACTTTCACTTCAAAACCAAAAAGTTTCATAGGACTATCAAACAGAATTTAATCGTACAACCGATCGTTGTGATGTAAACACCAATTACATATGGACAATATATAATAAATATGGCATCAAAATATGAGCGCATTATCAGTGATTGTAGGTCAAGAAATATATTATGGGAAGATGCTGATTTCCCAGCGATACAATCATCCGTATTTTATTATCAAACGCCCCCGTTCACATTCCAATGGAAACGCATTGCCGAACTAAATAATCCACAGGCATCGTTTCTAAATGAAAATGCTGAATTCGATGTGATACCTGGTAAAATGGGTGATCGTTGGCTCGTTTCATGTTTGGGCGTTTTATATTCGTTGCGAAATCTATTTTATCGCGTTGTGCCCGCCGATCAGAGTCTGGAAAAATCGATGGGCATCTATCGCTTTCGCCTGTGGTGGTGTGGCGAATGGGTGGAAGTGCTTGTCGACGATCGCCTACCGACCATCAATGGCCGACTCGCATTCATGCAGCCGCAGTCATCCAACTGCTTCTGGGCATCGCTATTGGAGAAGGCGATTGCCAAATTGCATGGCTCCTATGAGGCGCTCAAGTATGGCACACGCTCCGATGGATTAACCGATCTGCTCGGCGGTGTTGTCAAGTGCATGCCCATAATATCGGACAGCATAAGGCCGCAAACGCTGAAGGATCATCTGGCCACAACGTGCATTGTCACCTGCATTGCGGTTAAGAATGCGGCAGTACAGAAAAAGAACACAACGGAAAGGCTACCGAACGGCATTTTAGTGAATGCCAATTACAGGTATGTCTGCGCTAAAACGATTTCAAACTGAAATATAATTATTGAAATTTACTTAAAGGCTTTCGTGTTTGGATAAAGTCGAGACCGTTATTGGCGATTCCGTGCAGCTGGTTCGCATTAAGGACACATTCTCGTCGAAGCCTTTTGGCGATAAAACCAATTTTATTGGCGATTGGTCGCCCACATCGAAGACATGGGAGCGTGTATCATCGACGGAACGTGGACGTCTATTGGCCCAATTGGAATTGGGCGAGTTTTGGATCTCGTTTTATGATTTTGTGCACACTTTCACAGCACTGGAGATCGTTTATTTGGACTCGGATACGGCGAATGGAGAGCAAATGCTTAAGGGACGGCCGCTGCACTGGAAAATGAAAATGTATCAAGGACAGTGGAAACGAGGTGTAACTGCCGGCGGTTGCCGTAACCATGAATCCTTTCACATAAATCCACAATTATTGGTATCCATACAGGAGAAACAGGATATTGTTATAGCCCTAAATCAACATACCGCTGTCGAGCCGAAAGTTATCGGCTTCACCATGTACATGTGGAATCGCGATTATAGCCTAAACGAATGTTTACAAAAGGACTTCTTCAAGAATCAAGTGAGCTTCCTTAACTCTGACTATGGCAACACCAGGCATGTCAGCTATCACACACAGCTTGATATCGGCCACTATGTGTTGATGCCCACCACCTATGAGCCCGCCGAGGAGGCACAGTTCACCGTTCGAATACTGGGCACGTCGGCATTTCGGCTGTCATGCCTCGAGACGCAGACAATGATATTGCTGGATCCATTCCCATCGCTAAAGAGCGACGATAATGTGCAGAAAATCAAGAGCGTTTGTCAATATGAACCCGTTTATATGCAGTTGGCCGATGAAAATAAGACAATTAATTGCTTTGAGCTGCATGAATTGTTGGAGGCATGCCTACCAAATGACTATATCAAAGGATGCGCCAACATTGATATATGCCGACAGGTGATCGCACTGCAAGACAAAACCGGCAACGGCCGCATCACGTTCCAACAGTTCAAAACATTTATGGTTAATCTGAAATCATGGCAAGGTGTTTTCAAAATGTATACAAAAGAGAAAGCCGGCATTTTACGTGCCGAGCGCCTACGTGATGCACTCTACGATATCGGATTCCAACTGAGCACCGACATCATGAACTGTCTAATCCAGCGATATATACGGAAAGATGGCACACTGCGCCTCAGCGACTTTGTCTCGGCCGTAATGCAACTGACGACGGCCTTCAACCAGTTCCACATGAAGAACTACAATCAGGTGAATGTCATTGAGGTCCACCTGCACGATTGGATCAAGAGTATATTAAGTTGCTGAACTATGCAATTTTCGACCGTAACGTTGTGTAATAAATTGTTTTTTTTTTTTTTTTTCGCGAAAAAAAAAGTAAATTTTAATTTTATATGCTGTTCGTTATAATTATTTATTTTTAATGGGACAAACAAATTGCATATATATATATGTATATATGTATATATACATATAAATATGTATGTGCACATACATAAGTTGTTGAAAGCGCATTGTAAAATAAAATTGAAGGACGAGAAATGATTCGGAAACAACAACCATGATTTTCACTTAATGTTGTACGTATATTAGTTTAAAATATGTATATTTATATACTTAAATTCATTAAATATTAATATATATATATATAAGTGTATTTTGATAGGATAGTTGTGTGTGTACTCGTCTGTAAAGTATACAATATATAATATTATGTTGCAGCTGGCGATATTTCGATATTTATTAACTATTTAGCGATTCAATAATTGTGTTTAGCAGCTTATAGAACGTGTCGAGTTTTTATTACTAAGTACGATGCTTAAACTAGGCCGACATACATTTCTGTATATAAATACTGTATGAATTAGTTTTAATTAGTTGATTTATGGACGACAGGCATTTCGACGCATCTTACAGCTTTCTCCTGCTCACAAATTGTTCCTGTTATTAATTAATCCATGTTTAATTTACAAAAAACTTGATTGCGCGTAACACTAAGCGAGGCGACTCCGGACACCAAACATTACATCGAGGTTCCATTGTGGGAGGAGGCATCACTAATGCGCCGCGACAGCGTTGTCTTACGGCTGATGGAGAGCGTATTGGCAGCCTGATTAGAATGGATGCTCGGCCCCAGTTGGTTGGGATTATGATTTGTTGTTGTTATTATATTTGATATATCATGCGCTGTGGGTGACGATGCGACTGCTCGCAATGGGGAGCGCCGCAGCGAGCCGGTCACTTCATGGGGCTCTTGATAGCCCGAGTCCATATCATCGTGGTAGGAGTCCATTAGGGGTGTGGGATCCTCATAGTCGTAATCAACAAAGCCACTGTTATCGAAGGACTGCAATATTCCAAAATGCATTAGACACCAACAAAATTACAATACAAATTTTGTCGAATACCTTGACAAAAGATTGGGACTGCTTGGCATAGCCGCGGAACACCTGATTGTGCGCCTTGCCGCGATAATCAACGGACTCGTAGTGCCCATCCTGAGAGTTCTCAATTATAAAGTGCCGGGTGCCGTGTGGCGTTAATGTGGCCCACAGCAGGCGACTATCATTCACCAGCTGACTCTGCAACAGATCCCGACTGTTGGCTGTGGCGCACGGATAGAGTATTCCGCCCGAGGTGAAGGCATTCGATTTGGTCGCTTCGCCCAGCGCATTGATTGCGGTTTGCTTGATATTTGCATCATGATACGAGAAAAAGGTGCTAAGCATAAATTGAAAAGCAATTGATGATGAAATTCAATAATGATGAAATCAGTTTTGCAGGCTATCTCTAAAATACATACTCTTTGCATCTGATGACAATCAATGCCAGGAAACAGGCCAGCACAAATATGCCAATGCACGACGAGACGAAAAACCAAACATTCTCCAAGCTCTTGGCATCGCTGCGCACCAGCTCCATTAGCTCGTTGCCGCTATCATTGTGCTGGTTTTGGCCACACATGAAGGCCGCAAAGCACGGCTGAGACTCATTCGATGGCAGCAATATATCAATGCTCTTCGGTTTCGATATCAGGAACGATGGCAGCGGCGGCGGCGGCATGGAGAGTATAAAATCTGGCGGCGGACCAGCCAACTGGTCACAACTGCCCACACAATTTCCAAGTAAGAAATTCATTTTGCCTAAAAGAAACAGAGAACAGACATAGACAAATTTCCATCATGAGTATAATTATATACATATATTTTTGTAGCTATAGTCTTGGACATTTGTATTTAAACACATACGGCTGCCATATCAGCGTCGTGAAAGTTTCACAAAGATCAGGCAATGAACACGGGAGTTCTTCAAGAAAACATTTCTTATAAAGTGGGTCTGGGGGGCAGAAGAAGCACAACCAATGCGTAAACTGCGCAGCGTGAGTGCTCAGTTGTGTGTGTGTGTGTGTGTGTGGAAAAGAGCTTGAATGGGTATATTTTAGTCGGGCTTATCAGGAAACTTTAAAAAAAAAAACAAACTAATGAAGTTGTTTTCATTAGCCAAAAGACTTGTTCTATTAGCTTTATTATATGCACATACATATCTATGGTTAATTATGAAAATGTTTTGTTTGTCTATTTTGTGTACCCTTAGCTCGACCCAAATACTTCTACTGCGCGTTGCAGCAGCAAATCTTCGAGCACTCGACACTCGAATATATATCTGATATATATGTATATATATGGATATGCAACTGATAATATCAAGCAATAAAAAAAAAGAAAACAACTTTCTAAACATTGACAAACCTTAATCCAATAACGTGTCCTGTACCGATGAAATCTTACCTTGAACTGAGTAGTAAAAACAATTGCCATATATTCCCAACTCGAAGAGCGCCCATGCGCGCGCATCTCCATTCGATGTGGGTAAGAGAAGTAACCCCTGCTGGCTAAGCCACACCCAGCCAATACACATACTCGGATTATTCAAATTGTCCCCCAACATTATTTGACATGTAACGAAATTTCTTGCATTTTTTTTTTTTTTGCGACCATTTCATGTTCCTTTGCTTATTAATATAATTTACGTTAGTTCGAAAAATTGTTGAAAAATCGAACATTTTAAAAAGGTAAAATCGGTTGTGAAACTAAAATAAAGTGTTATCATGACTGCGATGAATTGTGGACAACAAAGTTGCGGGTTCTAATCCCAGGCTTAAGGGTTCTGATCCCAAGCCTAAGCCGAAAAGAAAAAAACAAATGATAAAGCATTAAAATAATTGATAATGACAGGCAATAAATATTAACAAATAACGTTACGTAATAGTTAAATGAAACCTGAATGCATGACTGGGGAAATACTTACATTAGAGAAAGCTTAACTTAAGCCGAATCCAAACACTGAAGAGATTCGCATGGCTAGTTACCAAAGGGGGAATAAGCCTTAGCCTGGGCGAAGACCAAAAAATTAACTTGGCTAATATTCGATACTCATATCAATACTATTGGCATCAGTGATGAAATCAGACTGTCAGAAATCAGTCATATTAGACGCTTTTATTGAAACATTGACCCTGAGTATCAAACAACTGTTCATTATGTAGAACAGGCACTTAATAAACATAGATTGTAACGAATCTAACATTAACTACATATAACGCATTTTTGTTAAAATATATTACATTAATTGGGAATAGGCGAGTCATACAGCTCGCTAATAACAAGTGTTGGGAAAACAAGCAAAAACAAAAAAAAAAAGTGTGGGAAATAGCAAAATGTATAAACTCTGTGATAACCCTTTAATTTATGCTGCATACACTTGCAATATATGAGTAAATATTTGATCACAATTATACTATTTTTTCTCCCCATATGTCATAACGACGCCAACGATCAATGCCAGCACTGTGAATCCTTGTGCTGCAATGCGGGTGCGCATCATAAATTGGGACATTCTGCGGTTGCCGGTGCGAAAATTGTATAGACCAGCTGTTAGGGCTGCGGTTGTGGCCAGGCATCCTGTGTACAATGAACAGAAACAAATTTCAACGATAATTGGCAACGTTTACATAACGAAATTAATACAATTCTAGTATATCGCTTACCAATTGGCACCAAAGGGTTCTCCTTTATTTTGCGTACAAGTCTTTCCTTGGTCGTTTCAATTTCGACAACTGGCCCCAGATCCTGACGTAACTGTATCCAGTCCAAGTCTTCCGCTGGTAACGGTATTTCCGATTTGTTGGGCATCTTTCAATAGATTGAACAAGCTTTTCTGCAATTTAAACAATATGTCAAATGCAATTCCGACAATTCATATTAACTGAATGGAACACACATCCAAATAAACAGATGATTACAGACGTGCGCACAGATGACAGTCACAGTGCGGAACGTTGCAATGGAACAGGGATGTGTATGCGCTAAATACGAGAAGAGAATATTTGCTGAACTAACATTTCTTATCTGACTTTAAATATTTTGATGGTTTTTTCAAATATGTCAATTCAATTTTCAAACAATTCGTCATTTTATTTATTCACTTTTTTTTCTAAAGATATATTATATTTTAATATTTTGTGTTTGGCAATCCTTACATAAATGCCCATTTGGTTCCATAAAGTACGAACTTGAACTTGAAGTTCAATTAGTTCTATTCGTTTTCCATCGTCTCAAAATCTGTTCCCTAGCATTGGTAACCGGTTTGAATTCACATGTGCGTCAAATTAGCGGCGGTGAGTTAGCGTCGATTTTTGGTACTTGGTATCGGAAAAGGAATCGGTCACTTTTAAATGCATTTATTTATGTTTTTAAGCACAAAACCAAATAAATTTAAATGCAGAATTGCAATAAATTAAATTATTTACTACCTACATTCATTTATTTTTGAATTTTAATTTATAATATGGGTAAACCAAGGGGTTAAAATATTAGGTTTTCACCATTCCATAAATATCTAAATTTAGGGATGATGGCCCCGAAAACCGCATATACACGATTAAAGCCTATAGTTTCTCCTAGCCAACTGTGAAAATTTGATTAAAATCGTCGGTACCATTTTTAAGATATTTGGAAAAGAGTGCAACAACCCCCAAGTCAGCCCCATATAAAATGACCGCAAAAAATCAACCTTGTTTTCGAGCCCTTATTTCTTAACTCAGAGACAATGGCCCTCAATGCACGGTATACCCTCTTGTAGATACATATTTTAGGAAGCTATAGGCACTAATTTTAAGTAAATGGACGGTACAGATTTTGAGAAAATTAATTAATTGTAAACCAACATCATATAGTTCATTAAAAAGTCTATCGAACTGCTAGTTCCTACGTGAACTGAATCACTGCCTGGCATCAGTGCTGAACAATTTTGTGCAGAACTGAGCGGGAACCAATTCAATTTGAATTATATGTAATCATGAAAAAATGGAAAGGACTCATAGTAAATTAAATTAATAAGTCAAAGCAAATTATATGAGAAGTATTAAGTCATACTTAATAGAGCAGTTTATGGAAAAATTGCATTTTTCCATTTTTTTCTTTACATCCTATGTTAATGCAAAAAAACATGCTGGCAATATTAGATATCATACTGTTAAATGGCAGCCATATTTTAAACTTTATTATTTAATTTCTCCGAAAACGGCCTCAAATGCACGGTAGTTGTGCATATAGAGCACGATTTATCAATCATTTTGCTATTTATTTCATTAAAATCATCGGTACAGATTTTGAGAAATTCTCATTTTTCTATTTCTCTCATAACATCCTATGTTAATGCAAAAAAACATGCTGGCAATATTAGATATCATACTGTTAAATGGCAGCCATATTTTAAACTTTATTATTTAATTTCTCCGAAAACGGCCTCAAATGCACGGTAGTTGTGCATATAGAGCACGATTTATCAATCATTTTGCTATTTATTTCATTAAAATCATCGGTACAGATTTTGAGAAATTCTCATTTTTCTATTTCTCTCATAACATCCTATGTTAATGCAAAAAAACATGCTGGCAATATTAGATATCATACTGTTAAATGGCAGCCATATTTTAAACTTTATTATTTAATTTCTCCGAAAACGGCCTCAAATGCACGGTAGTTGTGCATATAGAGCACGATTTATCAATCATTTTGCTATTTATTTCATTAAAATCATCGGTACAGATTTTGAGAAATTCTCATTTTTCTATTTCTCTCATAACATCCTATGTTAATGCAAAAAAACATGCTGGCAATATTAGATATCATACTGTTAAATGGCAGCCATATTTTAAACTTTATTATTTAATTTCTCCGAAAACGGCCTCAAATGCACGGTAGTTGTGCATATAGAGCACGATTTATCAATCATTTTGCTATTTATTTCATTAAAATCATCGGTACAGATTTTGAGAAATTCTCATTTTTCTATTTCTCTCATAACATCCTATGTTAATGCAAAAAAACATGCTGGCAATATTAGATATCATACTGTTAAATGGCAGCCATATTTTAAACTTTATTATTTAATTTCTCCGAAAACGGCCTCAAATGCACGGTAGTTGTGCATATAGAGCACGATTTATCAATCATTTTGCTATTTATTTCATTAAAATCATCGGTACAGATTTTGAGAAATTCTCATTTTTCTATTTCTCTCATAACATCCTATGTTAATGCAAAAAAACATGCTGGCAATATTAGATATCATACTGTTAAATGGCAGCCATATTTTAAACTTTATTATTTAATTTCTCCGAAAACGGCCTCAAATGCACGGTAGTTGTGCATATAGAGCACGATTTATCAATCATTTTGCTATTTATTTCATTAAAATCATCGGTACAGATTTTGAGAAATTCTCATTTTTCTATTTCTCTCATAACATCCTATGTTAATGCAAAAAAACATGCTGGCAATATTAGATATCATACTGTTAAATGGCAGCCATATTTTAAACTTTATTATTTAATTTCTCCGAAAACGGCCTCAAATGCACGGTAGTTGTGCATATAGAGCACGATTTATCAATCATTTTGCTATTTATTTCATTAAAATCATCGGTACAGATTTTGAGAAATTCTCATTTTTCTATTTCTCTCATAACATCCTATGTTAATGCAAAAAAACATGCTGGCAATATTAGATATCATACTGTTAAATGGCAGCCATATTTTAAACTTTATTATTTAATTTCTCCGAAAACGGCCTCAAATGCACGGTAGTTGTGCATATAGAGCACGATTTATCAATCATTTTGCTATTTATTTCATTAAAATCATCGGTACAGATTTTGAGAAATTCTCATTTTTCTATTTCTCTCATAACATCCTATGTTAATGCAAAAAAACATGCTGGCAATATTAGATATCATACTGTTAAATGGCAGCCATATTTTAAACTTTATTATTTAATTTCTCCGAAAACGGCCTCAAATGCACGGTAGTTGTGCATATAGAGCACGATTTATCAATCATTTTGCTATTTATTTCATTAAAATCATCGGTACAGATTTTGAGAAATTCTCATTTTTCTATTTCTCTCATAACATCCTATGTTAATGCAAAAAAACATGCTGGCAATATTAGATATCATACTGTTAAATGGCAGCCATATTTTAAACTTTATTATTTAATTTCTCCGAAAACGGCCTCAAATGCACGGTAGTTGTGCATATAGAGCACGATTTATCAATCATTTTGCTATTTATTTCATTAAAATCATCGGTACAGATTTTGAGAAATTCTCATTTTTCTATTTCTCTCATAACATCCTATGTTAATGCAAAAAAACATGCTGGCAATATTAGATATCATACTGTTAAATGGCAGCCATATTTTAAACTTTATTATTTAATTTCTCCGAAAACGGCCTCAAATGCACGGTAGTTGTGCATATAGAGCACGATTTATCAATCATTTTGCTATTTATTTCATTAAAATCATCGGTACAGATTTTGAGAAATTCTCATTTTTCTATTTCTCTCATAACATCCTATGTTAATGCAAAAAAACATGCTGGCAATATTAGATATCATACTGTTAAATGGCAGCCATATTTTAAACTTTATTATTTAATTTCTCCGAAAACGGCCTCAAATGCACGGTAGTTGTGCATATAGAGCACGATTTATCAATCATTTTGCTATTTATTTCATTAAAATCATCGGTACAGATTTTGAGAAATTCTCATTTTTCTATTTCTCTCATAACATCCTATGTTAATGCAAAAAAACATGCTGGCAATATTAGATATCATACTGTTAAATGGCAGCCATATTTTAAACTTTATTATTTAATTTCTCCGAAAACGGCCTCAAATGCACGGTAGTTGTGCATATAGAGCACGATTTATCAATCATTTTGCTATTTATTTCATTAAAATCATCGGTACAGATTTTGAGAAATTCTCATTTTTCTATTTCTCTCATAACATCCTATGTTAATGCAAAAAAACATGC